TCATCTTTCTAGAAACAAATCAAAAGAACACATGCCAAGCATCACACTGCTGAAGCTACTGAAGCTTACTACCAAAGGTATGACCTCCCCCTGCTTAAGAGTGTCATCATAACTACTAATTGTTACCACAGTTATGAGTAAATTAGCTTATGAAGCTAATTTTCTGTAAAAACAAATTTAAAGTTTGGGATAAGGAATGCAGAATGGTTCACCTAAAACGGTTTTCTAGTGAAAATGCAGAAATCTTTCAGCTTTTGGTCAGTCTAATTAAGAAAGGGTTTACTTCCTTGGCTCTAAAGCAGCATAAGCAAACATTTTTTACATGTATATGGTAGCATTTCTTATCTGTTGCCTATAGTTTGTAACAACAGGATTTCTCTGTCAAGACTAGTATTGCTGTTAACTTCCTTGCTGCAAGGGAGCTTGTTCTGTTACAGCTGACTGTACTTTTAAAACAACATTTGTGTTGTGTTACAAGAAGTTACATATTAAATTCATGTATTGCCAGTTAAATCACTGATTTTTAGATCAGTCCTGTTTTATCAACAGAAGTGTCAGAAATAGCTGTTAAGGGAGGATGAAAACCTTTCTGTCATTCTACAGTATTTTACAATTGTTTGCATCTTAAGCTAATAAACTGTATTTGCTACACGTTATAGTTTGTCTGTTATTTCTATAGGCTTTACTAAAAATATTGAAATGACATAATTGGGGCATACTGGTAACTGGTAAAGATACCCAATTAAAATATTACTTTGTAGACTGACATATCTGAGGAGCTTGCATGGCAAGTGAATTCATACTTGTGATTATAGATGTCTGATACTTAATATTAATTGGTATGAATCAGGAAAGTAAACAAAAAGCCTTCATTTGTAAACAATTAACTGTGCTTCCGCAGAGTCACATATTTAAACCTAAGCACAGCCAGATTAGATCAGACACTGGTTTAGGAAGTCTAGTGGGAATTGTGCCGCCTTAGGCATTTGATTTTCGTTTTTGTTTTTTTAGTAGTTGAACTGTTCTGTAAAAACTTGTGCTGGATCACACTGCACTTTTCCTACTGTTGATTCTTCTTTAGGAGGAACATTGGCTTAAAATTTTGTTGCGTTGATAGCCATGTGTATACAATACTAGTTTTAATTACTTTCACTAGCACAGTTTCAGTGAAGTGCCCTGTGTTAATTGTAACCGCTGTGTAAATAACCCTCTTTTAGAAGACATGGAAATCTTTTAAATCACTTTTATGATGATTGTGTTACTAGTTCCAATGACTTAAACTTGACACATGGGACAAAATTTTGCTTTATGCAAAGCAGCGGTTGTATTGGTATCAGTAAGGTTGAAGGTATGATTAAGTTTGGCTCACATCAAGTAGGAGAATTTGGTCTCCTGTCCTCTTCTGTACTGTCTGAAGTATGGTAGTCGTACATGACTAATGCATTATGTATGAATCTGTGTGATGGTGGTAGGGAAGATCATACTTTATGCTGTTTCTGGGTATTTCATATTGCAAATGTATTAACATGGCCGAATAAAATGCACGTTTTAAAATCAGAGATGTTCCAGTTAATAGTTAGAAAACTCATCGCAATCCTGTTTTAGAAGATTTATTGTGTATTCTGTTTTGTAAGCTACAGGGGCAGACTACTTGAGTCAGAGGCCAGTTTGAAATGCTTCAAGCATAAACATGACAAACATGTCTTCTTCTCTACTCTTTCATAGCACCCATCTTACCACGTAACCCGCAGTCTGTAATATCAGTGTGGTATGCTCCTTCCTATTTTACCAACATACAAGCAAATAATTGTGCTCCTCCTGCTTTCCTAGGTCAGCAAGTACCGATTTTTGAAGGTAGTAATTTCCAGTGGTCCCTGTTGGGAGCAAATAGAAGTACAGTTGCGTGAAGTAGTTTCTGCTGCTCTGCTGAGACTTACTAGTCTTAAATTTAGGCAAACATGAAGGCAGGTTACGAGAAGAATCAGCAAGCTTTTCAGAACAGGATTGCCATCAACATGTGAGACCTGTCAGTTTATAATGGAATTGCCAGTAGCACTGGAAATGTCTGACAGAAAATTACTCCATTGTCAGCTGTAGCTTTGCTTCTCGGTCAGCCACGTGCATGTTTTGGAACATGAATCTCAAGTAAATATTCCTGGTTAGGTATTTTGTTTATGATGTTTCTTTTTTCCTTTGTTATGAATTTTCAGTGTTTAACTGTATGTGAGGCATCTTGTTTTGTGGGGTTTTTTTATGAAAAATTGAAATAGGTTACAGCAAAAAGCTTTTACCATTTCCTTTATTCATTAAGCCTCAGAATAACTTGCAAACAAAAAGCCCTCTTACCCTCTGTGAAGAGGTTTACGTAAAGGTGTTACACTCATTCCACGGAAAGGTAAAATGATACGGAATTTTTCATGTCAGTAACTAATGAGCAGAACAGTGGCTTCTGATGGATAGATAGTGGTAGAGTTGGACAGGCTGTGGCCTTCTAATGATGTCAGTAATGGTGCGCTATACAAATCCAGATAGGATAAACGAGCAGGTTCAAATGTTGGTAACTATTGTTCTTTTCCACATGGCTGCAAACGACAGAGTGGTTTCCAATAATATAGCTTCTTCCCATCAACTCCTTAGAACTAGTTTTAGGCATTATTGAAATGTAAACATCAAGCACTGAAAGTAACAGAGGTGAGGAAGGCGATATTGTGTGATGCGATGGTCGGAAACATCACTGCGTGCTCATATTGGTCTAATATCCTGGACCAGAAAGGTTAGCCTTTGCCATTGATAGGATAATGATTTTCTATCAGCCTTTATTGGATCCTAAATATTTCTTCTTTTAGTTTCTCTTTAGAATATTAATTTGGTTGGTAGACTCTGATTTCACTAAAGTAAGCCTTTACTATTTCAACTACTGCCCAGTTGGTAGAATCTGGATTAAATTTGAGAACTTGTGTTTTTGTGCATAGTAGTGAGCTGAATAAGATACACAGTGTCCCATCAAAGTTGAAGGTCATGTGGAACCCAAAATCTTTACTGTGAATAACAGAGGTTTGTCTGTGATGCATCTTTAGGTAGTATAGATAGAATTTATTTGCATGTCATTAAGCCATTTTTTTTAAATTTCTTGATTTCTTGTATTTTTTACTAGTGTATGATGTAAGATCATCCTTGCAGATGAATAGGAGACAACCCTGGAGAGTTAGTGATTGTTTAAAATACTTAATTCTGTAAAGATTTCCCATTAAATACTCTGTATAGGGGTATTTTCCCCCAAATGAAAGAGCTTCACAAGGGATACTGATATGTATAAACTGGCCTTTTCTTGCCACTGTAGCATTACGTGTCTTTGTCTTGTCTAGATACCTGAAAGGGGTGATGAAAAATGCAGCTGCCCCTGTACTACTGGAGCTGGCCAATGAGGTAATCATCTTTACTTTGTTCTTTAATCTTGCGGTGTAAAACCTAAGGGGCATATCTGTAGTGACTTCAGTGAGAAATGTAATTAACCTTAAAAAAATGGTTTCAAGGCACATTAGACATTTAAAATGGTTCCCCAGTCTGTTAGTACTTACAATAATTAGACAAAAAGCCCCATTTATTAATAAATCAGTTAATGTAATTAGTCTTTTAACTTCAAGGCGAATGTGTAGGGAAAAACTCTGAATTTGTGTTGTGCTGGAAGTTTCAGACAGACCATAGGTCTTTAATGCACAAACTTACTGAAAATTCCCACATTGAATAAATGGAGTTGCATCAGTTTTACTTATATTTGATTCCTTGGTTTTAGTAACAGAACCCATCTAAGATTTTTTTTTGTTTATAATGCAAAGGGTTAAACCAGTTCATTTTCCTGACTCCGTTTATTTCTGCTCACACAGATTAGAGGACGGCTAATGAAAACTGCTTAATATAAAGCAATTAAGCAGAATAAATTCCTCAGTGTAGCCGTTTCCTAGAAAAGCTGGCATATGAAAAGTTCGGTACGGTTGCCATTAAAGTCTTGACAAATTTATTGATGCTGTTTATTAACTAGGATATGAATCTGCCTTGGGATGCAAGGTGTTATTTGCATTAAAAACTGCTACCTAAAGCACTACCTTAAAGAAGATGTAAAAAGTTTGAAAGAGTGGCAGTGATCCTCTTGGAAAAAAAAAACAACGATGAAATATCTACCCCTTAAATTCTAAAATATTTATTTACAATAATAATAACAATACAATAGCTGATACTCCTTGGAACTGCTTATGCAACTCTCAGAGGGATAGAATGAGATGTATGCTGTTTTGAGTTGCATTTTAATAGAAAATGTAAGAAGGAGGCAGAAAATGAGTGTTTGCATTAAAAATGATATGGCACTATGAGCATTAAGTGTTGCGGTAGCAGCAAGTTCCATATGTTACATTACTAAGAAAGAATGGTTTGTCTCTCATATATATTGGTACAGCCAGCAAATGAGTGATTACCTATCAATTACTAGAAGGTTTTAATGGTCTGTGAAGTGTCCACATATCCTGATCATACAGATTGCATAGAGTAAAGGATTTATTTCGTATTAGTGGAAATGTGCAACGTCTTAGCATTTTTGGAAAAGACACATCTTGAAGTACGGAGAATGCAATGGACTTTACATAAATAAGTACAATCTTATTAAGAATTTAGATAAACAACCCAATTTGTGATATATCACACCCATATTACATGGGGATTGTCATAAAAATATTTCAAGCACAAAGTAATGTATCTGTTTCTGGTTCTTTGTATATTTTTTCCCATTGATTTAGAGGTGATGCATATAATTTCTGACTCTAGTGATCATATCTTTGTTTATATTATACTGATGCATTTTTGCAATTCAGATCAAAGATATCTACAGTTCGGAAATATATAAAAATTGAATCTAAAAGAAAGGGAAGATATAGAAAGAACTTACCTGCTTCTGATTTCATAGTAGCAGGTATAGAAGAAAGGCAATGCATTCTGTGACTGCTGCCTAATGCATTAGGGAAATGTGGCAATAACCAGCACCAGATTACTGCTTCCAAACAATCAAGCTGCCATTTTTATATGATAGTTAATATTTAAATGACATACTCTTGCATCTGCTGACAATTGATGTAATGGTAATACTTTATGAGTCAATATATATTTAATCAGTGGAAACTGTAAAAATTGATGAGAAATATATAACATAGGTGCATTACAGTGTGTAGCAGCTCTGTTAAATAGGAAAAACTCCCTATTACTATCTTTTGCGGGTGATTTTTTGAGGGTTTGGGAATCTACTTTTAATTTATTTCCATTTTATTTGCCAACTTCTTCATATGTATATGTAGTGCAAAAGGACTAAAATAAATCTTATTTTTGTTAGATAGGAATAATAAAATTAGTCACTGTTCTCTTCATACAAATATTTTCAAGTGAGATTTGAAGCGCTATGAATTTTACTTACATGCTAAATTCTGACGTGAAGCATGATGGCCCTATTTCAAAGAAAGATGGACACATGATTAATATGAAAATTAGGGAGATGCAAGTACCTGAACTAATAAGGTAGTCCTTATTCAGGCTGGACTACCTTCAGTAATTTCACCATTTTTCAAGTGTCAGCTCTGATGTGGGTTACTGGAAATAAGCAGTTCCGTGGAAAGCATTTCGCTCTACTTGGGGAATTTAAGGGCATCCAAGTACATACATATTTGGAAAAAATATGTGCGCACAAATGAAGCCCCCTTTTTTTGTCTAGTTACTAAATCAAGATAAAATTTTTGTATTAATATTGAACTTGAAAACATGTCAAGAAAAATTCACCGTGACAGTGTGTGAGCAAGGTTTACTGTCTCCTAGTTAAAATTCTCATTCACTAAGGGAGTACTATAATGGTATCTGTAAAGCTATTGTAATTTCAGGTGGAACTACACCGTACATTTTCCATACATAAGAATACTATCGAAATGGAGGACTAGCTTTGTTAAAAAGGAAAACATAAAGAAATTTTTACCAAGTCCAACACATCTGCTGGAGATGTTGGTGTTAAGAATATGTGGTATCACTTGACAGGTGCCACATATAGTGAGTATTCACAGCAAAGGTTCACCACGTCTTTTCCTTGGTGAAAGGAAATCCCTTGCATAAGGGATTTTACTGTCACCTTTTACAAAGGGTGGTTCAAATGCAAAATGTACAAAGATAATAACCAGTAATATGTTGTCTACTTTATTTGGTTTCTCACTGGGTACTGTGGACTGCTGTTACAGATTTGTTCCAAATAGCTGAGCTTAATAATTGGGAAAAGATACCGTTTCATCTATTTCTGCTCTTTATTTTTAATCTCTAGATTGCAGTGCTGACAAATGTGCATCTAAATGCATTATGCTCATGAAATTCCCTTATATTTTTTGTTAAGGTGGACTTTGCCCCATCATTGATGGCTCGTATTGTGTTAGAAAGATTTCTACAAGAAAAAGAACAAGCCGTCCGTAAGTATCTTCATTGTTTTCTTTCGTTTTGTTTTGTTTTGTTTTTAATTTTAGGATATTTTTGTTTCAACTTTTCTTCTGGCTGTGATGTAAAAATAAGCAATGCAACATTGCAAGTGAGCTAATGAGGGTAACATTTTAAGGCTGGTATCTTCAACAGCTAATGACAGTTAAAATGTATATAAAAAGACCACCCACAATTTAATACAGGCTAAATGAATGCTTTCTTTTTCCCTCTTAGATTTTCAGAATATCAGTTCTTTCAGTGAAATAAAGGGTGTGGGGCTCACTCTACACTTAAATGTTTAGAGCTGTGTATTTTAAAAGTCAGTAATTGCTAAGAGTAGGTCTTAAAAATAAACCTAAGCCACTTTTTAATTTTGCAACGTTGGAGAAATATTGCTGTTAAATGCAAAAGTGCATTTAACTGATCTCAGTACAAGAAAATGAAAAAAAAAGAAATGAAAGAAAAGAAAAGAATAGAGCTACAGGAGGAGGTTCAAGCCTAAATTAATTTGCCACTGAAAAAATACATTTTGTTATTTTCTCTGTGTCAACTGCATGATTAAAACCGGCTGTTAAGTGAGCTCTGGGGATGTACTCGTAAAAGATTTATGAGTAATATTCAATGTGATATTCAAAGTGAGTCATGAATATCAGGGTAATTGCTCTCAGTGCTGGCTCTTTTACTAGGCAGGAGTTTGTCAACTGCCCCATAAATATTTGCCTAGTCTCATGTAAAAAAGACAATTTCATCTTCTGCATTTTTATTACCTAGTGTAATGTTTACCTTTGGAGCTTGACTGTGGCAGAATAGGTGAAAAGCATCAGAATATGTTTTATGTGTATAATCTTCTCTTTTTGAAAGCAAAAGATAATACCTACTAAAATATCATGCGGTAGCATATGGTGGGTTTTGTCAGGGATTTTTCCTTTGGTTTTCTTTGAATCTGAACAGTTATCAGTGACTGGTGGCCCAGTTACCTTCTGAAGGTTTCGTTTGAATGAATTAAGTACTTCCCCTAAAAATTCAATATCATTTCAATAGATGTAGCCTCTAAAGTAACCTGCAGTGATGCTTCATGAGCAAATCACATGATGTCAGAATGGTATGGTTTCGATTTAATCAAGAAAGAGATTAAAGTGGATGTGTGTTATTTTCAACTTCGCCGCAGCACCGCCATTTGTCAAAGTCAACCTTCTGATTGCTTTGGACCTACTGCTATCCAGGTCCTGTCAAAATAGTAGTCAGCGCAAGCTGAAGCAGGTAGACTGGTGGATGTAGAGCAGTATCAAGCGCAGTAAAGCAGAATTCATTGACTTGTGAATTATGAAGTTAATAGATTCATCATAAATTTTCTGGCTATTAATTTATCTTTGTAATGATGGCATATCTCCAGTACGTTTTTCTTTTTTGTTTTGCATCATCTTATGCTGCACAGTGAAACAGAATGTAGTTTTGAAATGTACTGCACGTCAGAATTGGCACAGCTGCGTTGCTCACGTTAGATGTCTTGTATGAGTGTGCCAGGAAGGAGTAGGAGCTTATTTAGAGTCCAGTTTAGACAGAGGCATTCCAGGAATGTAGTTTCTAGGAATAGGGGGCAAATTGTTGATAGAGTTCTGTGTTTTTGTGTTCCATTGTAACTTGTTTTAATGGAATAAATCCTTATGTGGGAGCATTTTTAGATTTCATAGCTGCTTCAGTCAGTGACAGTTTTGATGTGATCTATTTTGATAATTTTTTTTCAAAAGTGAATTTGAACACTTTATTTTGGGGAGGGGGGATTTTGGCATATGAAACACTTTAAAATCACTGTTTATTATATGGCTGTCAGGAGGCTGACTTGTCATCCAAGTGTGGAATGATGAAAAAAAGCTTTCATGGTGATCAAAACAATTAAAAAACAGTTTTAGCATTGGCTTTTAGTTGCACTAAGTAAAAATACACTGTCCTTCAGAGTACATTTTAATTTTCATTAAAAGATCCGTGCTTTATGTTGTCTGTTATATGGTGTGGGTGTGGCTAGGGAATTGCAGTGCTGTTACGATGCTGGGGAGTTGCTAAACTGCTCTTAGGGAAGGAGCTGTGAGATCCTCTGGCTTCTATTCTGACACTTCCTTCTCCCTCACAGCAGCGACCTGGCTGGCCTTTGGCAATGAAATTCAATGCACATGGCTCCGCAGTCAAATCATCAAATTTCCCTGTGTGTATATTAGAGTTTTGTAATGTGTTTCCATTATGAAACAATGCGGGGATAATTGTCTTTGGTAGCAATTAGCTAACAGGTTTGTTCAGTGCTATTGGCAGAGGCATCCATCATCCCCTCCCTGACCACACTTTTTTGTCTACTGTGGACTATGGAGATCAATAGAATTCTGTATAGTGGAAATCACCCCAGCTTTAATGAGCTGCAAGTCTCAGTCAGTCTTGGTTTTGTATTTTTAATTTTTCCCCTTTAAAATGGAAAAAAGCTTTCCCTCTGGGAGGAGAGAGTACTGTAGCTGTACTATTACTTTCACTAATCAATTCATGGTTCTAAATTGTTTTGCTTCTACAAGAACGTAGGGATGATAGAGATCAGGAGAAGCACGCAGTCTATTGCTCCAGTAATACTCCATTCTACTGAAACATATCTTTATAAAATACAGAGTAGTGTATTATCCAAATTACTTGTTTGGCGCTATCTTTGATTCTCTTGTGTGTAGACTTTAAACCACAGAATTACATAATGCAAAGGATTAAAGGATATTGTATCACACAATATTTTAAAAAGACATACAACCGACTTTACGACAGTCTGTGTCAAATATAAAGGAAGTGTGTTTTGTTGTGCTTTTAAGTACAGCATTGTGGATCAGGTTAAAGTTGTTTGTAGTGTGTGCATCTTCATAAGCAAAAGTGTTTGGGAAGGAGTTTTTATTTCTGAAGAAGCAAACAAGAAAAGGGCTTTGGGCTAAGGAATGTGGGCTAAGAATTATCACTTAGCAGGAATATTTACATTTCTCTTTGCAAAGTAGGCAACAGAAAGTGTTCAAAGCAAAAAATAAATCTTTCAGTAAAATTCCATTGTTAGTACTGATATCTAAGTTTTCCACCAACTGACCTGTGTTCCTAGGAAAGGAGCTTGCCCTTCTAGAAGTTAGAGTAACTAACAGTATAATAACTGTAGTGCTCCTTTTAAAGTAAATATGGAACATGAACGTTCTACCCAAAGAATTCAAGTATAGTGGGAAATTGTGCACTTCGTGGCCTAGTCTTCTTCCTTTTCACAAAACAGACTTCTTGACTTGATAGCCTTTTTTTTTAACCCAGGTACTTTGGTCTTACGATAGAGATTACTGTGATACCACACCAAATTCCCTATTTATGCAGTATAATGCTGTTGCAGTGAAAAATACCGTTGAGTTCTCTACAGTTTTCTGACATGAAGTAATAGTGCTTAGAAATGACCTCTATACCACTTCCTGTTCTTTTAAGTACATCAGAGACAGTTATTCTGTAGTAATCACCATTCCACTTGTCGAAGGAAGGTGTACAGTTTCTGGATGCCAACAAAATACATCCTTTTGGTGTTTTTACTGCTTGAGTTTGAGCAGGGGAGCCTTGCGTGCCAGTTTTCAGTCTGTGACAAGATTCAAGTTCTATTTGGATGCTGAACAATTTGAAGAATGTGCTTTCTCTATGTATCCTTTGACTTAACCAAGTCCAAAACCTATTATTCAGTCGAGCACTGTAATAATTCTTCTGCCTATTACCTTATTAAATCTCTCAGATTATTCTATCAGTGTATGGAAGATTAACTCCAAACAAAACTGTGGGACCAAGGGGAGAGAGTACCTTACACAAGCATAGTGAAACCCTATAAATGGAACATCATATTTTGCAGTTATCTCTGTATCCTAAAAATAAAATTGATGTTGTCATTAAAACAGATAAATTCTTTACTTCTGTACTTTTCAGATATAGAATTCCAGCTGTTGAATTCCAGGGTGCAGAACAGTGTTCTAGATGTGGTCTAATAAAGGCTAAGTAAAGGAGATAATCATTTCCCTTAGTACACTGGTTCTGCTCCTTTCAGTAAAGCCCAGGTTGCTGTTGTTCACCTTCTCTGCCACAATACAGCCCTGGCTCACGTTCAGCTCGCTGCTGCACCAGGGTCCCCAGGTCCTTTTCTGCAGAGCTGTTCCCCAGCCAGTCTGTCCCAGCCTGCATTGTTTCCAAGGGTTTCTCCTTCCCAAGTACAGGACTTTTTTACCCTTATTAAATCTCATGAGAATCCTGCTGGCCCATTCCTCTACCTTGTTTGTATAGGCCCCTCTGAATGGCAGCCTTGGCTCCTGGTTTGGTGTCATCTGCAAACGTGAGGAGAACATGCTCTTTTGCATACTCCAGGTCACTGGTGAAGATGTTAATCAGGAATAGGAAATCACAATTGCAACTACATAGAATCATTTAGGTTGGAAAAGACCTTTAAGATCATCTAATCCAACCATAAACCTGGCACTGCCAAGTCTACCACTAAGCCATGTCCCTGCGTGCCACATCTACCCAGCTTTTAAATGCCTCCAGGGGTGGTAACTCCACCACTTCCCTAGGCAGCCTGTTCCAGTGCATGACAACCCTTTCAGTGTAGAATTTTTTCCTGATATCCAATCTAAACCTCCCCAGCACAACTTGAGGCCATTTCCTCTTGTTGTGTCACTTGTTATTTGGGAGAAGAGACCAACTCTCACCTCACTACAGCCTCCTTTCAGATAGTAGTAGAGGGCAATAGCATCTCGCTTCAGTCTCCTTTTCTCCAGGCTAAACAACCCTGGTTCCCTCAGCCACTCCTTGTAAGATTTGTCCTCTAGACTCTTCACCAGCTTTGTTGCTCTTCTCTGGACACACTCCAGCGCCTCAATGTCTGTCTTCTTGTGAGGGGCCCAAAACCAAACGCAGTATTCGAGGTGCGGCCTCATCAGTGCCAAGTCTGGAGGAACGACCACTTCTCTAG